TAATGAGGATGATGATGTGGATGATGATGCGGATTATGATGAGGATGATGATGTGGATGATGATGATGATGAGGACGATGATGAGGGTGATGATGTGAGGATGATGATGAGGCTGATGATGAGGATGTTGATGAGGATGATGATGAGGATTATGATGAGGATGATGATGAGGATGATGATGAGGATGATGATGAGGATGATGATGAGGACGATGATTAGGATGATGATTAGGATGATGATGAGCACAATTATGAGAATGATGATGTGGATGACTATGAGGATGATGAGGCGGATGTTGATGAGGATGATGATGAGGATGATGATGAGGATGATGATGGATCATGATGAGAATGATGGTGAGGCTGATGATGAGGACGATGATGAGGATGGGGATAAGAATGCCGATGAGGAGGATGATGAGGATGATGATGAGGATGATGATGATCATAATAGTGAGATTGATTATGTGGATGATGATGAGGATGATGATGCGGATGCTGATAAGAATAATGATGACGATGGTGATGAGGATGTTGCTGAGGATGATGATGAGGATGAGGATGATGATGCGGACCATCATTCGCCCTATGATGTGGATGACGATGAGGATGAGGATGATCATGGGGATGATGATGAGGATGATGACGAGGATGATGTTGAGGTTGATGATGAGGATAATGATGAGGATGATGATGAGGTTGATGATCAGGATGATGAAGAGGATGATCATGAAGATGACGATGAGGAGGTTGACGTGTATGATGAAGAGGATGATTCTGAGTAATAGGATGATCATGAGGATGATGATGAGGTTGATGATGAGGATGATCATGAGGACGCTGATGTGGATGATGATGAGGATGATGATGAAGTGGATGATGTGGATGATGACGAGGATGATGATGAGGATGATGATGAGGATGATGAGGACGATGACGATGAGGGTGATGATGAGGATGATAATGACGATGATGACGAGAATAATGATGAGCCTGATGATGAGGATGTTGATAAGTATGATGATGAGGAGGATGATGAAAATGATGATGAGCATGATGATGAGGATGATGATGAGGATGATGATGAGGATAATGCTGAGGAAGATGATGAGGATGAGGACGAGGATGATGATGAGGATGATGATGAGGATGATGATGAGGACGATGATGAGCATGATGATGAGGATGATGATGAGGATGATGATGAAGATGATGATGGAGATGATGTCGAACATGATGATGTGGATGTTGATGAGGATGATGATGAGGATGATGATGAGGATTTTGATGAGGATGATGACGAGGATGTCGATGAGGACGATGATGAGCATGATGATGATGATTATGAGGAGGATGATGATGGGGATGAGGATGAGTATGATGATGAGGAATATGATGAGGATGGTCATGCGGCTGATGATGAAGATGTTGATTAGGATGATGCTGAGGAAAATGCTGAGGATGATGATAAGGATGATGACGATGATGATGACGAGGATGATGATGAGGATGATGATGAGAATGATGATGACGACGAGGATGAGGATAGTGACTAGGATGATGATGAGCACAATTATGTGAACGATGATTTGGATGACGATGCGGCTGATGATGCGGATGTTGATGTGGATGATGATGAGCATGATGATGAGGATGATGATTAGGATGATGATGGGGATGACGATGAGTATGATGATGAGGATGATGATGATAATGGTCATGCGGCTGATGATGAAGATGTTGATGAGGATGATGATGTGGATTATGATGAGCTTGATGATGAGTATGAAGATGAGGATGATGATGAGGATGATGATGGGGATGATGTTGAACATGATGATGTGGATGATGATGAGAATGATGATGAGGATGATGATGAGGATGTTGATGAGGATGATGACGAGGATGATGATGAGGATGATGATGACGATGATGATGAGGATGATGATGAGGAATCTAATGAGGATGATGATGAGGATGATGAGTATGAAGATGAGGATGATGATGATGAGCATGATCATGAGGATGATGATGAGGATTGGGATGTGGAAGTTGATGAGCATGATGAGGAGGAGGAGGATGAGAATGAGGATGATGATGACGGTGACGATGAAAATGAGGATGCGAATGATGATGAGGATGATGATGAGGATGTAGATGACGACGATGATGAGGATGATGATGAGTATGATGAGCAGGATGAAGATGAGAATGATGCTGAGTATCATGATGAGGATCATGATGACCATGATGATGAGGATGATGATGAGGTTGATGATGAGCATGATGATGTGGATGATGATGAGGATGATGATGAGGATGATGATAAGCCTGTGGATGAGGAGAATGATGAGGAGGATGATGAGTACGATGACGTAAATGATGATGATTACGATGATGAGAATGATGATGAAGATAATAATGTGAATGATGATGAGGATGATGATGAGGATGATGATGAGTATGATGATGATGATGATGATGGGGATGATGATGCGGATGATGATTTGGAAGATGATGAGGATGATGATGAGGATGAGGTTAAGGATGATGATGAGGATGATGATGTTGATGAGGATGAGGATGAGGATGATGATGAGGCTGATGATGCGGATGACGATGAGGATGATGATGACGATGATGATGATGAGGATGAGTATTAGGATGAGAATGATAATGATGATGGTGATGACGAGGAATGGGCGAATGTGGCTGATGTCGAGGATGATGATTTGGATGATGATGAGGATGATGATGAGGGTGATGATGATAATGAAGATGAGGATGAAGATGAGTATGAAGATGAGGATGATGAGGATGAGGATGATGATAAGGATGATGTTGAGGATGAGGATGTGGATGTTGATGATGACGAGGATGATGATGAGGATGAGGATGCGGATGAGGATGAGGATGACGATGATGATGAGGATGAGGATGATGATGAGGATGATGATGAGGATGTAGATGACGATGACGATGAGGATGATGATGAGTATGATGATCGGGATGATGGTGAGGATGATGATGAGGATGACGATCAGGATGATGATGAGGATGATGATGAGGATAATGATGATGATTTTGAGGATTATGATGAGGATGATGATGAGGATGATGATGAGGATGATGATGAGCCTATGGATGAGGATGATGATGAGGATGATGATGAGGATGATGATCAGGATGATGATGACGACGATGATGAGGTTGATGATGAGGATGATGAGGACGATGAGGATGGTGATGATGAGGATGATGACGAGGATGGGATGATGATGATGAGGAGGACGATGATGAGGAAGATGATGAGGATGATGATGTGGATGACGATGTGGATGATGACGAGCTTGATGATGAAGATGGTGATGAGGGTGATGAAGAGGATAATGAGGATGATGATGACGATGATAATGAGGCTGATGATGAGGATGAGTATGAGGATGAGGATGAGAAGTATGATGGTGATGACGAGGAATAGGAGGATGAGGGTGATGTTGAGAATGATGATGAGGATG